TATCAGGATAAGAAAAAAGAAAAAGATTTTAGAAAGAGATCTTGATATCAAAGTCTGTAATTTATGTTGTCTCATACTGCTTCTGTGTGGAAAAGCCAAAATAACTCACTGCAAGAACTCCAGATTAGGAAATCAGCATTCAGCTGAAAATGTCTACATTGTGACTGGTTTCCATATAATTAAATATTATATATTTCCATAGAATTTTGCAATTATATATTTCCATAGAATTTCAAGATGCCCTGACTTGCAAGCCATGTCATGCTGATTAAGGCACACAATAGTTAAGGAAGTTCAGGAAAGTGGTGTGATAGTGAAGGGAAGCAAAGCCAAGAACAAGGGATGAGAAGACACCCTGTGCAGGACATCTACATTGTGCATTTGTGGTGGTGCAACAACCCTGTCTCACAATTCGAGCTCCATCCTAAGGACACTGAAGATTTGTTTTAATTCTGGAAGATTCTACCTAGTTCTCCTGCTATTCTCCCATCTCTTCACTTTAGTCAGGAATAATAACTCTTAAAAAAAACCCCAAACAAACCACAAACTCATACAAGAAACAGCCCACCACAAAACCAACCAAAAAAACCCCAACCATCCTTTATTTCATTATACTTTCTGTATTAGAAAGTCTTTTGCCAGCATCCCTATACAAAACAATTTAAAATAATGAACAGTGCTTGTGTGTGCTTCCTTTGGAGAATGCCAACTAATACTTCAACTGATTCTTCTTATCACTTAACAGAAAATTTTAATCTTGGAGGTTTTTTAAAAACAAAACTATCATTTTCATTACTAAAAAACCTGGTACCAGCAAGAATGTTGTATTTCCCATTTTAGGAGAGTGAGAAAAAAGCAGGCAATTTAACAGGTTCAGATTTTTTTCCTGTGTTGCATAAAAGAATTACAGAATAAGGTCCCAGTACTTACTTAGCCATGAGTTTTGCTATTCGATGACAGTCATTCTTGTCGTAAAACCAAATACTGTAAATTGACACTAGAAAATAAGAAAAAAAGTGTAAGGCAAAGAAATCAAATGCATAGGAAAAAAGTAAAAAACCAAAGTGAATTAGATCTGCAACGTGAATTACCATCAATTTCCACTCAAATATTGTGTGTGACCAAGGACTATAAAATAATCAGAAATAGCACCTGTGCAAACACAAATATCTTTAGTTAGATAAAAAGCAAGAACTACAAAATGCTGATACTGGTTGTAAATAAAAGTGGCAAGAAAATGAAGTTTGAACCAGCAAATGCCGTCTGCAGTTGCAGCCTCCTTTCTGAATTGCTGACTTTCCCATTTAAACTAGGCCAAAGAATATCCATTTAAAAAAAAAAAAAATTTTAAAGTTTGTCAATTTCTGAAAATCAACAAAAATATTAGTTTGAATTACAGAATGACAGTTCCCTCAGGGGCTCTCTGGAAGGTTCCCCATCCAGAAGGAAGCAGTACCAAAGCTCCAATCACGCTGTCACAGCCACGGAGCAGCTTCAAAATAGACTCATAGTGACCCCTACTCTTTGAAGGTATCAAGGACAAAGCAATGAGGGCAAAGGGGTTCCAGCTCAGCAAGACACTCAGCCCCATTCTGGCTTTCAGAAGTAAAATTCCACTGCAAGTTGGCAGAGTTGGAGCCTGACTGCTGAGCTGAAGATACTCCATCAGAGGGAGAAACTTTGTCAGTAGTGCCATGTGCTGCTCCTTCCCCAGGAATCCCACTTCCAAGGGCCTCTCACCCACACACGAGCTCATCTCCTCACTGTCCCACAGTTGTGTCAACACCACAAAGCTGCAGAACTTTTTTCAGAATTGTATTGAATCCAACCCACATAACAGATTATATTAAATCTTAACTCACCTACAAAGTTTGTCAATGCACAGTGTGCAAGTACATTAAAGGCAATTAGACACTTTATATATGTTACCATTAAAGTACTTTAATCTCTGGAAAAATGCTTTTAGCCTTGTAAAACTCACGTTTATACTGCAGTTAATGCTGATGTTATTATGAAGTTGAAATCACTGATTATAAAAATATAACTTAAAGTGAAGGAAAGGAATGTTTAAAAAAAAATACGCAACTTTTTCCAGCCAGATGTAGATTTTTATTTCAAAGTGAAATCCTTTTCTTTCTTCACTCACTTTTTTTCCCTTCTCAAAATACTCAAAAATCTCAAGCCAGCCCACTCAAAATTATGTCCAGCCAAGAGGGCAATTATTTGCCAAACATTTTCTCTAGAGGTTCCAGTTATCCCAGGCTTACATCCTCAAAAACTCACATACACACCTCATTTCTAGAACAATATCATAAGACAAATTGAAATTGTTCTTTTTCTTTTACTCAATAACAACTGTATTCATTTGGGTGTTTGTTTCTTTAGAGGTTCCAGCTCAAGACAACAAAGCTTTTCAAGTCATAAACAAAGAAATCAATGCACAAAAGACATAAGCCAATACAAAAGCATTTCATACATGCTTATGCTTATAAGCCATACAAGCCAATGCTTATGAAATGCTTGTATTAAAATTTACAGTTTAATACAACTGGATTGTCTGCTGCAGAGAAACCTATAAAAATTTCCAGTTTGAGCTACTTCTTTAGTCATGTAACATATTTTAGCACTGAAGAAAAGTTCTTTCCCTTCCCTGACTTCATTATCAGACCAACTGCCAAGAGGAGAAAGCTGCTTCAAAAGCATACTTGCTGAAGAAAGGAAGATAAGGAACCCATAATGATATCTTAATGGGACAAATGATACAGTCACACTCAATTCTGCCAGAAACAGGCCTACACAAGATCAGAAGTAGATCCAAATATCCACTTGGTACTACTGGCAAGCAATTGTAGGGAGCCACTGCAGAACATTAACAATACTGCAAAGATGTAAAGCAGGTTATGAACAAGTAAACTCAGGCATTAACATACGTCCAACAAGCTGGAATGTTTACCTTCCTCTTTCCAAAAGAGAACTTGTGTACTACCACTTCAGCTCCCTTGCCCCTGCAGTGTGTGTGTGTCCCAACTGCATTACTACATTTGATGTATTTCTTACATGCAGTTCCAGCTATGAACAGCCTTATATCAGAGTTGGTTCTTACCAGCTCTTTTTAAATATGTGATTTTTTTGCTACACCCAGCATAAACATTAGCTGAACGTTCACATGTCTAATGGCACCTTTCTCCTTGCAGTTCTTTCAAGAGTTTCACCCAACAGAAGCCACTGAATTAAGTGACTCATTTTTCCATCCAGTTAAACATCTTTAAAAATCAAGTAACAGCAGTTTGTAATCATCATCAGCAATATCTTTCACTAGGATTCACATTACACTTTGGCACACCTGAAGTAATGAGTAACCCATACCACAGACAAATCAGGTTTCATAAAACTAAAACAAGTCATCTGTTATCTTTATCTTTGTTCTCCTCTGACATATGTAATTTTTATTAGAAATACTGACCCACAAATATTTCTCTAAACACATAACAAAACTCCTCTCCAAACTTGATTGAAATTAAAACTTCATTGATTAAAACTTGATTGAAATTGCAATGGAAAACCAGAGAGATATTGAGAGAACAGAAGCATTGTGGAAGTCTTCTTGCTCAACCCTAACAGCTGGATGGTACTAAAAGGAAGGCCTTGGACTCTTCTCCATTGTGCTCCCACTGCTCCATGGGACAGTCAGGTCACTGTGCCACTGCTCTGAGATCTGAACTAAGAGTGGGAAGAGTCAAGTGCCACTGCAATGCAGAAGCCTCACTCTTTGGCAACATGAAATGAAGCTGCATCCCAGAGCTGTAGTTTCACTTCAGTTCTCAGTTTAAGTAAGCAGAGAGGCAGTGTCACCACCCTCACATTGCCACAGCTGTGCCATTATTTTTACAGTTCCAATGTAGGTGTTACCACACAATGCGGCAGAACAACTGGAAGTGGAGGACAATAACCCTTCAAACTCTGGAATGAAAGGACTCCTATTCTAAAACCCCATCTCCCATAAAGAAATGCACATATATGCATCACTTTACACTTCAAGCACAGTTTAAGGCAAAATCACATAAAGCCATCTCTCTTAAAGCTTGTATTTCTTCTAGTTAGCTGAAGTACCACCTCTCCTCAGTCAGCTCTAGTATCTTCTCTGACATTCCTCATATTTATTTCCTCAGTGTACGTATTACCCTGCCACATAGATTTATAAATCATTAGAATGAATAAAAAAAAGTTCCTTCCTTTCTTATTGTTTTGAGTATCTTAGGCCATTTCACTAACACAGCTCACAGCACAATGCCACAAGCATTAGCACTGGAGCAATTCCTCAGGTGGCAAACAGCATCTGAGATCAGGAACACTTTAACCAACTGCCATCTGACAGGATTGTATGGAATGAGAAGGATTGCTGCTCTGCAACACTGAACCGTGGCAGAAAGCCCCTCGTAGTTTGAGTGCCATCTTTCAGGTCAAAATACCTATTTTTAGAAGTTCTTAACAGTTTTCAATCGTTCCTCCCCTCCTCCAGCTTGCACTGCTTCTTCTGCTCCAGAGATATGAAGAACAGGCTCCTTTCTTATCTCAGCCTAAAGCACTGGGTTAATGTGCTTGCTGGAGAGCCCGTCAGCCTCGGCAATCACAGAGATGTGTTACACTTAAAGTGCTGCCAGCTGGGGACACAGGTGATAAGGAGAGACTTTCCTTCCCACTTCTGAAACCAGTTAGGAGCTCTTTCAAAGACTTTTAATACAACTCATTTTGCTTTTGCTGTTCTGAATACAAGTTGTTTTCATCAATAATACAAGGCCAGAAGACAGCACTTTGTAACTGAGTTTTCCACTTTAACGTATAAAACTCTCCAAAATCCACCATTTTTGTATTACTAACTCTTATCTTGGATAGGAATAAGAAGCAAGAAACCCCACCCACCCCCCAAACAAAACCCCCCCACCAGACAAGGACCACTTATTTTAATACCCAGGTTTTATGCTGAGCATCTGTCTTTTCAGCACCATGGAAATCAACCTGCCTGACCTCCCAAGTGAACTGACTTGGATTAGAAACTCTTTTAATCAAGACCAACACCATCGATACAGAGGGAAAGTTATAAATGAGAAAGGCTCAGAAGAAGTGTTCCTGCAGACTTTAACAGGTAAGTTGGCCATTCCTTGAAACTTTGCCTAATTTTCCTCTATGATTAAGCAAACTATGAACTGTCAGCTCCAAATTCTCACATTATAGATTGAGTGAAAGTACTGAACTTTCAGACTGGACTGTTAGTACTGTGGCAGAACTGTATGCATTTTTTGAAACAGAGTTTAACATACTTTTCACAGAACACAGACAAGAGAAAACAAGCTTAGGTTCATTTAAAAAAAATAGGTCAATGGGATTCAGTGCTTCATGAACAAATACGCTGAATACTCTAAAGAATGTGCAGGTGTCCAGAGGGAAAGTTCAACAAGGATCAAATATACCCAGCAGACTAAGAAATAATAAATGGTATATTAAGTATAATCTAAAAATTTTTACCTTTTAAGAGAAATTCCAAATTTAAAATATGTTACAGTAAGTCAAACAACCTCCTTTCGATTTGTTAATTTCTTGCTTTGTTCACCTTTGGAGATATTTATTTTCATTAATTCTTTATAACAATGAAAAGCAGAATACTTTTTTTCTATTTACTACTGTAAGTAGTATATTGTCTCACAGCTTGTTAGTCACACCCTCTATCATTTTTGCTATAGGGTCTGATGCCTCACAAGGAAGTGGTGTAAGCTTTGGGGCAGTGTTATAGTGAACTTTTAGGGTCCAGTGTTCTTTTGGGGCTGGAACCACATTGTGTAGACAGAATAATTTTGACAACAAAATTTCTGGAGTTGGGAAAGATTTCCCCATTAACAGCTAAAATATGAGAAGGGTATGATTGGGGGGGAAACCTCACAGTGTAATGAGTAACAAAGTGACCCAAATGTCTTCCATTTTGCTCAGAGAACACATCAAAAGGTAGACAGAACAAAGGTACTGTATCACTTGCTCTGTTCTCCTTCCAGAATGCCCATGAAAGTTCCCTTCATGCCCCACCCTGCAAAAACAGGAGGATCCCCCCAAGAGCCATGACAGATAAATCAGTAATTTCCAGTGAGAATAAAATAGCAATTAGCTAGTCTTGGTCTAAGTGTGAAAAAGCATCTGTGCAACTGGATAAAGCACCTCATGTCTACAGCTTAACAAAACTAAGTTCTTACATGCAGCAAACTAACAATGTCATTGTATAGTAACAGCAGGTATTTGAAGAAATCAAACTACAAAAGAATGGTAAAACCCCACCAAAAATATTATGATGTAGCATGACAGGCAAATCATTCTTACAGCCTCCAGCCAAGCAAAAACAATGGTTGTGTGCTGCTTGCAGAGTTCCTCACATAACTTGTGAGCAGCTCTGCATGGGCTGGAGCACGTTATGGTATCCTCAGAACAGCTCTCAGGCCGTTTAGGACAGAAATGCCAGAGGTCTGATCTGGTGCCTGTAACACACTTGGCCCTTATTATCTTTTTAAGTCAAGACAGAATCCCAGAACAAAGTGAAAATGTGGAGTTTATAAAACAGTAGTATCCTATTCAGTTACAAATACTGTTGAGACAGAATCTTCCCCAAATATGCAGTGACATAATTTTGCTTTGATCATCTGCTATTTGTACCATGCCCTGATGAAGTGTTAATCTCTGTCACTGATCCTGTTACAACCGAACTATACAGGTGCAAAACATGTTTCTCTGCCCAACAGCAGTATTAATAAACATGATTTTAGGTTTTTACCAAGTAGTTTGAACCATCCCCCATCTGTAAGCTAAGGAAACAGAATCAGCAGTTCAATCACTCAGCAATCTTAACAGGACAACTTACCCTTAAGAGTTTGTAATGATCCCAGTACATTTCTTCAAGGATACAAAAAACTCCACTCTACAAGAAACAGGGCTGTTGCCAACACTGTGTAAGAGGCAGCTTTTCCTTACACAAGCCAGCAGTCCATCCTCTTTCAGTCATTAAGGGATCTCAGCAGAACTTCACTTAGAGACACAGCACATTAAGCCCTCAGAGATACACATTACATTAACCACTAGCTTAAAGCTCTGATTTGAATTAGTCCCAAAAATGCAGAGTTTTTCATGCCAGCAGGCAACTGAGCAGAAATGGACATCCCTCCACACAAAAAGAACCTGGATAAGAATCCCCTGATCTGCCCATACAAATAAAACATATACATGTTGGAATTTGTCTGCAAATTCAAACCAAGCCTGAAGGGGGTTTTAGTTTGGTCTTGTTTTTTAAAGTTTCACAAATGCTATGCTGATAGAGGCAAAAAGCTTTAATACATTTCCATCGTATAAGTTGTTTTTTTCTAGCTAATTCAGGGGACAAAGGCCAGAAAATTTGGAAAGTCTCATGTAAGAAAGAAAACCCAAAACACAGCAACTAAATGCACAATGTAGGGAGTTAGTGGTGTTGAAATCATAAATGATAAAAATCTCAGATGCCATTTTCAATGCTTTTCAGCTTGTGTTTGAACAAAGTGAACACAAGCAGAGGACACAAAAACCCATCTGTTTATTTGTGGCACTTGGGAAAATAACCAATGACATACTAACTACACTGAACATTTGCAATCTGCAGTTGGTGGAGACAGGATGGAGTGATGAAAGAAAGGATAGTTTCTGACTAGAGTCTTTTAAAATGACAGTGGGAAAGAAATAAGAAGAAAAAAATACTCTTGGTTATCTCAGAATGCAATTATTTCCCACAACCAGTCTATAATTTTTCCTTGCTCACCTTTGCACAAATTCCTTCCTTCCTCATACTCTTCTATGTCATCTCTATCCTAAGTCCCATGAGCCTCCCACATATCTTACAAACCAATGTTCCACAGGAAAAGGAGAGCTTTTATCAAAGGAAAACAAGCAGCTTTGGGGTTTCTAATGAACTCACACATGGCCTATATCTTCTCTGATTACAACGACCTGAAAGGAGGTTGTAGCAAGACAGGGGTTGGTCTCTTCTCCCAAGAAGCAAACAGTAGGACAAGAGAAAATGACCTCAAGCTGTGCCAGAGAGATTTAGATTGGATATAAAGAAAAATTTCTTCATGGAAGGGGTTGTCAAGCACTGGAACAGGCTGCCCAGGGAAGCAGTGGAGTAACCATCCCTGGAGGGATTTAAAAGCTGTGCAGCTGTGGTGCTTAGGGATGTGGGTTAGTGGTGGACCTGGCATTGCTGGGATAACACTTGGGCTTGATCTTAAAGGTCTTTTCCAACCTAAACAATTCAATGATTCCTTCCTTAAAGTGATCCTCTATTCACTCCCACTGGTGTACACCTGGTAATTCCACAGCAGCTCCTGATACCATCAGCAGCTTCAACAAACAAACAAATCAACTCCTTGCTTCCCATGTCACCAATTTCACAGCTGCAATTCTGAAATGACACCTTTGCACCATGAGAACCCCCTGCTCTATGGGGTGACTTCTATTTATCTATTTAACCTCATGTAAAGTTCATTTACCCACATAGTCCCTCCTCCTCTTTGTAAGGGCTGCATAATTTACACTTTCAGCTCTTTGGAGCATCAGCACTTTCAGTGTACCCAACTGGAACGTAGCACACTGGGATTGAGGCTCAATTGATGGCACAAAACACTGCTAGAATTCAAAATGCAGCGAGAAGATCCCAAGTACTATTTCACCACTCATCTGCACCCAAACTTGCTGGAGTCTAAACTGCAGGAAATTTAGAATAGACAACTATCTGCTGAGTCCAAAGCCTATTGTGGAGAAAGAAACCTTCAACCTAGAGCTTAGCAATTTTCTCCACTTCTTTTAGAAGCTAATGATTAATATTTTTTTTTTTTGCTTGCAAGAGGAAGTTCTTAGATCTGTCCTTGCTGTTAAATACTTTAAAAATCTATCAATCTTCATTATTCTTTCTTAGTTTTTATTAATCCTATAGCACTGTGTATATGTTTAGATTACACCTATCAGATCATTACTTTAAAAGAATATAGCAATATTGCACTTTGACAGTATATTCTCTTTTTATTGAAAGCAGGTGATGATCATAATATACTAGCACAGCTATTTAAGTAAATTTAGCCCTGCAGACAGAAAACATCACCAGACATTTCACTGGAACCTGCCCCATTACATTATACTTGAAACAGATATCACAGTAATCAGAAGTGATCAAGGTTATAAAACAGAACCTCAAGTTTATATGGTTTAGAGAAAGTTATACTCACAGCTGGCATTTCTGTAGAGAAGAAAAGGTTCATGGAGCTGAAACTCCAAGTCTTTATTTACTGGCTCAACCAGGTTGTGCATGTTCAGTCGATTCACTATCGTAAAACCATGATAAGGAGAAGCTGACCTTGTTTCAATGAAAACAAAACCAAGGATTAATATCTTCATTGACATAAATAATTTTCTGAAACTGAGTTATGAATTAATCTTCAAATCTCCATTGCTTTATTAGGTGGAGCTTTAGCAGTCCTGAAGCTCTCAGTTTTTCTTCTATGCCATTTCTTGGCTGCCACCTAATTTCAATTTCAAACTACACTTTCCTCAAAGCAGGATTAGGATTAGCATTACAGTTCTACACTGTTAAACTGCTGAATCAAAGATATGCCTCTAAAAAAACCCTATTCAAAAAAACTAGGGCAGGTCCAGCATTAAAATTCAAGTGTATTCAATACTTGACATGAGACAGTTTTGAGGCATTTTAGAATTCTTTTATTAAAGGAGAAAAACCCAAACCACTTACACAGCATCATTTCCCTTACTGTAAATAGACATGACAATAAAAAAGGGCTGCTCTCTTAAATAGCATGAAATGCACTTCTGGGGGAACCATAAGCAGTAATTTCTTCCTAAAGTGAAACTCTGAAAATAAGGAGTTACCCCGGTGTCCTCAAAGTACATATTAAATTATTCAGAATTATACTGCTTAGTGAAACTATTTTTATTATCTAGATATTTGCTGGACACCAGGTTCAAAAACACCAAGCAAGCACTGGAAGTTCAAGATAGTTTTAGATGTGTTTTCTCTTGCTGCATAAATGTCATGTCAGCACTCAGCTGTGCCTGTAAGCAGTCACATAATCAACAACACAGCATGATGAAGGTAGGATAAAAACCAGACACAATTAGCTA